GGGGCCCAGGCTTTGAGCGGGAGCCGCCATAGCCACACCACACGCTGCACACACAGTGTCACATACTCAGACCACACACAGTGCACACAGCACACGCCACACCACCCAGAAAGCTCACCTCCGGGGGTGGTGGGGCTGGGGGTGAGAACCGGCTACAACCAGCAAGGCTGATACCCCAAAGCTTGGAGTGAAAGAATCTTAACTTCAGGGGTCAGTGACATGACAATTCATTGACTGATTGGTCCATTAATTAAGTAATTTCGTAACCAGAGGGAAACGTAACTAGACATAAACTGCCATGCCCGCCACAGACAACTCTCATTTCTCTCTTCAGAGTGTATCAGAAGTGGGACTTTCCATGTCTGATCTCATCGAATCGTGTTTAAGAATAAGCTGCCACCCAAAGACACAAAAGCCAAGTAAACGGAGCATCGTTCATGCACCTACCTTGTGTAGCCTTTTTCAGGACTGTTATATCTGTGTGTAGAGCCAAAGAGGAAGGTAGAAATTCCTTCTTGAGCACCATGGCTTCAATCCGAAGTGAGTAGCTAGAAGATGAAAAGTACAACTGTAGCTCTCACTGTCATGAATTTTAAAAACTTACTCTGCAAAGAAGAGAGATCAGGATTCCTTACTTTGGCACCTGAATTAAGCTGTGCAGAAAGGAGTCTGCCAGTGACAGCTTGGACACATCTCCAGTGAAAGATTTTAATTTCTTTATCTAAAAGACAAAAGGAAAGGGTAGGAGGGAAGAGAAAAAAAAAAACATGATTAAAATGCAACATTATTAAATTTCACCTCAGAACTTCATTAAGCAAATAGAATTTCAGTGCTAAGTTCACATTAATAAAAGTGTGGCGCTAAGAATATCATCGCTTGTAATATTTTGTTTTTTTACAAGAAAGAACAAATGATGAGGGTCTAACAGTCCACACAAACCAGAAAGTGGAAACCACAAAGGCCCCAGGGAGGTCACTGAGGGGATTCTGAGAGGTCAGTCGGAGGATTGAAATGTTTGGAAGTTGGAATGGGGAAGGGCGCTCACTGCTGGGAGGAGAAGCAAGAGATGGATGGCCGTCAGGACGTCTCTGCGTCATACCAAACAGCCTTATTTCGGATGTAAAATACTTTGGCTGGGCAGGGTGTAACGCCGATCTCTCTGGGAACAAATACCAGTGCACGTGCATGAGCTTTCATCAGAAGGGCCGTGCGTGCAGTCCCGCTCTCCAGAAGGAAGGTATCAGCGCTTCTACCCCCCACTCTCCACGCCCTCACAGACACTGGGGTAGGATTACGGTGGTGATTAGTTTCTGCTGCTGCTCATTTTTATTTTCTAGAATGCCTACAATGAACATCTTGTAAAAAAAAAAAAAAAAGACAATAAAGATATGACTCACACTAACCAACAGCACTGCAAGTGCAGTACACGGGTTAAAGCCAGAAGGAGACACAACAGCCGACACGCGGCCGGTTGGGGATGGAGGTGAAGAGAAAGTTCTCTGATCCTGTCACACCGCCAGCTGCACCTTCCGCACAGTGAAAAGTGGAGCAAGCCAAGACAAAGACACCGCCAGGGCCTCTGGAAGCGTCTCAGTGACCCTCTCGGGCACTGAGGGGCACCAGGCTGGTCGCTTTCCACTTCTTGCTGTTCTTTATTCAGTTTAATCTCTTCCTGCCCCCACCCCCACCACGTTGGAGGCCCATAAAAATAACATGACTTGTAAGCCTCTCGACATATAGGAAACGACAGTTCAAAAACACAAAGGAGAGGGTATTTGCCAAGATCACATACATAAATACCAACATCAACTCTGAAAACACTAGTCGAGACAGAACAGGTATACACCCTGATGTTAACTCTGGTCCCTGGGTCACCATTTTTTGCATGACAATTTTCCCTCAGTAAAACTGGAAAAAAATAGTCCTGTACAAAGATGAAAAGAAAAAACAGATGTCTTTTCGAATGAGCAGAAAAAAAACAGCCATTTACAGGACTGTGCCATTTCCCCTGCCTTAGGGTCCCGAAGTGCAAAGACCACTTGGGTCTTGCTATATTTAAAGGCAGATGGGACCTCTGGTTTAGTTCGACTCAAGTCAGTTCCTAGTTCTGGAACTAAGGAGGCCCCAGGAAGAAGATCCTTCTGGACTGGTTCCACAACCCTCTATATATGGGCAGGGGCAGCGTGAGGCTGTGCCTTCTTAGGCCTTATATGTAGCGCGAGCAAGGCTCCTGAAATAACACCAGTTTTCTGTCTCATGCATAGGAACAAGTCGTGCTTAAGTAAACTTGGCAGATACTTCTATTAATCATGAGCTACACCGTAACCAAACAATGATTAATCTTCACTTATGTAAAGAGCTCCAAATATTTATGGATTTCAAGTGAATGGTGATAAAAAGATAGTATTTAACTGAAATGCCACGTAGACAGCCTTAATTCCATTTCAAAATGAGATTTATGTTCATTAAAAGGGATTATGGTACCCCGCAGTGGTAGGGAGGTAAAAGGAGCAGTGAACAAACCCTATAATTACTATGCATTCTCATCCTCATCAAAATGCATTTATCAAACATTGTTAGGCTTAATTTTGTCGGCTGAGCAAGTGACTCTCATGATGACCCAGCTGGGCCCGGTTTCTGTCCTAACAACAGCAGCAAGCTCCTCAGTTTCCCACAGGCCGGAAGGCTGGCTCCCTCATCCAGCCCCGTCCGCTACCTCGTCCCACACACCACAGGATTCACGGCAGCACACCCACTGGAGAGAAGACACTGGAGAGAAGACACTTCCTCCAGGTTCCCCCCACCCCCAGCGGCAGAGAAAACAAAGCTTAGGAGAGACATGAGGCCACGCACCCTGCTTCCAGGAGAACGGAAAAGTCTACCAGCCCAGCCCTGGACAGGATTTGACACCCCGAGAGCAGAGAGGCCCGGCCTGGGCCGAGGGAAGGGCCGGTGGCTGCTGCGGGATGCGCTTCCTCAGTCCCCACAGCTCCCAACTCAGGCCTCCTCCCCAGGCCTCTCAGGGGAGACTTCAGGACCAGGGCACACTCCTGACCCCTTACTTCTGGGTCTGCAGCTTGCAAGCACGAACCCACGTTTGGGGAGAGATGCGCAATCACGCCAGATAAAGGATCTGTGGTAAAGGACTGAGGAACGCAGACAACACATTAACCTTGGCTGGCTGGTCAGCTGAGAAGGCAGCAGAGAGAAGGGCTGTTTCCGTTCGCATTTTCCAGCCTGCTGATAAGATTACAGTATTATTTGGGAGCCACTCTCTGAGAGCAGAGGTGATGAAAGGCTGGGGCTGGCTCAGAGCAAGCAGAGTTTTGAGAACCTTTGCTCTTCCTTCCTCAGAGGAGGCAGGGACCAGCAGAAGGGACCGCCCTGGGGTCAGACCCAGCAGGTTCCAATCCGCCCTCCTCTCCTCATGTCACCCTGCAAGTTCTAGACAAGCTGTGGGAGCCTCTCATTCACATTTATGAAATGGGCATGATTTGCACGGGGATGACAGCTGAGACGGGAAAAGGCACAAGGTGATGTAAAAATAAGCTGTTATTTAAAAAAAAAAAAAAAGGAAAAAAGGGGCATAATTTGAAGCTTTGCTGTGAGCACTAAATGGACGGGGGAAAAAGAATCATAAGCATGATTTACTGAGTTCAGTGTGCCGGCTTCTGGGCTCAGCACCTGGAAGACACACTTGTCCCCCTTAACCAAATTTTGCCTTGCCCAGGGTCTAGGACGTGAGGCCACTCGAATGTGTCGTCCCTTCTTGGACCGACAATGAGCACAGGTTAGCCCACAGGCTTCCTAACGTGGGGATATGGTTCACGTCAGCACGTGAAGCATTTTTCTGCCACATTCCTAATCCTCTCTCCCTGGCTCCACCTCCTCCTTGGCCTCATCCCACCCTCCACCCTCCTCCAGAGCAGACTCAGGGCCACAGACTCCACGGCCAGCTTGGGCCCTGGGCGGGAGGTGCTGGGCTCACAGCACTCAGAGCTGCGATAGTTCATGCCTGCAGGGGGTTGGCAGTGAGGGGGGCTGACTTCCCTGTGCAGCACTGACGCCCTCCGCCCCCAACAACGCATTCAGGGAGGGGTATCAGGCAGCCTGGAGAGAGTCAGGGTGTTCCGGCTGGAGGAAGCTCCCAGAGTTTGAGTTGGGAGGGTGTGGTGAGCAGAAGCCAAGAGTCGGTACTGTAAACAACAAGTGTCACCAAGCTTGTCAGAGATCCAGACAGAGGATGGCCCTGGGGAGAAGCAGCAGAGGGCCAAGGGATGGAGAACATTTCAGAGCCCAGGCCAAGTTTCACCACCACAGACACTGTCTCGGGGTTAGCTGCGGGTGACAGGGTGCCCCTGGAACTCGGCACCGAGTGGGTTTCTCCTTTTGAATTATATCCCACACACCTCTCAAAGAACAGAATTTTTTTTATAAATGAGAGGTTTGACAGCTAATAAGTTGCTGCTGTGAAAGATCCTCCAGGCTTCCACAGCTTTTGCATTCTCTAATTACCTCTGAATTTTAAATTAGCAGAGATGTTAAGAAACCTGCATCTAACTTCTACCTATTCGCACAGGAGCTGGCGGCCACCCTCCCGCCTAACTTCCATTCAGTGAGCAGTGCAGAGCTTTGCCGAGTACCTGAGCCAGCCCCAGCCAAGCGGATCCTCAAAAACTGAGGTCATAAGGAGTGGGCCCCAGAGCAATCCTGGGAGCCAAGAAGGAGCCACAGCAGGCAAATTCAAGAACAACGAAACCTTTGAAAAACCCCAAGTAATTAAATCCTATCCATCCAGATTAAAAGTAATTAATTTTAAAATTGAAGTCAAGATGCATTCACTATAATAGATGTTCCAGGTGCGCACCAGTGAGAATCAAGACTGAGTTCACCCCCAAGCACCCATACACCCCTTCTGTCCTTCAATATGTAAGTTCAGTGAGGACTTAATGTACCTTTCCCTCAACATTTTAAGACCCTTTCCTAACATTAACTAGATGCTGCTAAATAATTAAACTTGGTTTAGGTAAATGACACTTAATTAAGAAAGAGAAAGCCCCAAGTAGAGAGAAGTTCAGGTTGCCATACGTACCTAGAAATTGCGAATATATATATATATACATATATATTGTTTTTAAGATTTATTTATTTGTGCATACAGAACTGGGGTACAGGTCAGAGATGCGGAGGCTGAGAGGATTCACCAGAGACAGAGTGGGGAGCAGAACAGGCAGATCGACGAAGTACACTGCTGAGGGGAGCAGCGGGCGGGTCAGGAGAGGTCTGCCGCGCCATGTGGGTCAGCTCTGGGGAAGGGGAGGGTAGAACTCATGCTCAAGTGGCTTTAGCTTCTCCGTGCTGTGCTTTAATCTGCTGTGCCACCAGGGAGGCCCAAAAGTTATACTCTTAAAAACTGTTATTCAAATGTTCAGAAGCAATGTACTCACAAAATTTTTTTTTTAATTTTTTGGGGTCCACTTCTTTAGAAATTAAAAACTATCACAATTTTGGAAGGTTTTGTAAATTATTTTGTGTTTTCCCCGTCACCTGCCTAATTGTTCAAAAATTGAGTTAATTCAGACTGAAAGAAGTCAGTAACGAACACTGTGTGCTCCATTGGTCTCAGCCACTTCCCACTTTCAGTCAACTATATAGACATCAATGAACAATTTACCTGCCTTTCCAAACATCTAGAGCATCTCTGCAAGAGCAGTGGCATTGGGCCACACTGATGGCACAGGGGTTAAAAATCTCAGCACTATCAAGCTATCCACAGCCACTGCGGCACGAGTTCAATTCCCAGCCAGGGAGTGGCCCACAGGGCCCAGCAGACCTTTCCTGTCTCACCTGCTGCTCCCCTCAGCAGTGTGTTTCAGTGGATCCACCTGTTCTGCTCCCCACTCTGTCACTGCTGGATCCTCTCATCTGTCTCCCCACGCCCCACATTTCTGGCCTAGACCCGAATTCTTGTATGCATAAATAAAGAAAAATAAATCTTTAAAAAAAAAGTGGCCTTTTCTTTTTAAAAGTCTAGGCACTATATGACACCCCAGATGTACCCTAGGCAGAGATCATAGATTATGGAAAAGGGAACTAAAAATGTATTAAGCTCCCACGGGCCAAGTACCACGTTAGACGTATAACTAGAGTTTAGTCATCTTGACCTGATGAGGTGAGTGTAATTATCCTCACTTTACAGGCGAGGAAACGAGAGTTCACAGGAGTTAAGAAACTTGCCCCAGTTCCTCAATGAAGGGCACAGCTCCAATTTACACCTGGATTCTCTGGCCCATAACCCAGGCTCTTCCGACCTGGTCATTTTTATTTCCACTTGAGAACTCTTGGCCCCAGGTAGGAGAGAGACTGCTCCCCGCTTAAGAGTTGGACATGCCTAAAAATATCAGGCTTGTCGCTTCAACCCTAACAGCCAAGATTCCCACGCCAAATTCCTTACCTCCTCTGACTCTGGCAAAAGCTTAAGAATTTCTCGCAAGTTCTCTGATCCATAATGCTCACTCTTTCCTTGATGAATATCTTCTACGATGGACTGGGGAGACCTTGAAAAGATAAATTAGGCAGATTCCATTGCCCGTTTGCCAGAGTGCCCAAGAAACACAAGCCAGTGGAAATGAAAACAATCTGCCTCCACCCTCTTTCCACCCCGGGTCTGCAGGCTCAGCAGCCCCACTGCGAGCCAACCCAGATATTCTGCTATACAGCACCTATCCCGCAAAATCACCCCTGGGTACCCCAGAAAGGCCACAACTGCAATGGCCATTGGGAGTCTTCTCTGGGGACAGAAAAACCATCCCGGTGGTCTCCCTGGGGACCCATGTAAATCTGACTCCAGCTGGGTGGCGGCACACGAGCAGGGAGGCTGAACCATGGGTGGGACTAAAATGAGTGCAAGTTCCAAATGAGTGCAAACATCTTACTTCTTAAATTGCTTAAGAAATATTCCAATGTTCATGCTCCGTTTTGCATCCAAGATGGTAATCTAGAAAAAAATAGACACCATAAATAGAAGATGGTTAAAGCTCAAATAAAAAAGAACTGGAGGAAGGGGGTCACTTAAAAATCTATCAAAATTGACAAGAGGATAACTGGATGATTCATCAATATTCCTAGTATAGTCTTGTGATTATTAAAGTATTACCACTTCCCCCAATTTTTGCAGCATTACTTAACTAAATTAGATCTATTTTTAAACATATTTCTAAATAAGGTGTATTTTTTTTTAAATAAGGTGTTTTTTTTTTTTTTTTAAAGATTTATTTATTTGTGCATAGAGAACTGGGGTACAGGCCAGAGGCTCAGGGGCAGTGAGAGGATTCAGAGCAGAACAGGCAGATCGACGAAGTACACTGCTGAGGGGAGCAGCGGGCGGGTCAGGAGAGGTCTGCCTCGCCATGTGGTCACCTCCGGGGAAGGCGGGAATCGAACTCATGCGGAAGCAGCTTTAGATTCTTAGTGCTATGCTTTAACCCGCTACGCCACCAGGGAGGGCCAAATAAGGTGTATTTTTAATTCCCTTCTAGAATGCAGCCTACAAAGCCTGCTTGTAGACATCCCACTGATTGAGAAAAAATTTTCTTACACAAGACTAGCGATAAAGGATTGATGACAAAAATATACGGAGAACTGATGAAACTCAACAAAAATAAACAACCCCATCAAAAAATGGGCAGAAGAGCTAAAAAGACACTTCTCCAAAGAGGAAATGCAGATGGCCAACAGGCATATGAAAAAATGTTCAACATCTCTTGCAATAAAGGAGACACAAATTAAAACCACCATGAGATACCACCTCACCCCAGTGAGAACGGCACATCTTCAAACACCTAGCAACAACAAATGTTGGCGAGGATGTGGAGAAAGAGGAACTCTCCTGCACTGCTGGTGGGAGTGCAAACTAGTACAACCATTATGGAAAAGTGTTTGGAGGTTCCTGAAACTGCTAGACATGGACCTTCCCTACAACCCAGCAATCCCACTCCTAGGTATCTACCCAAAAGACACAAAAACACTGATTCAAAAAGATGCCTGCACCCCCATGTTCATTGCTGCTTTATTTACAATTGGAAAGACATGGAAACAGCCCAAATGCCCAAAAATGGATGACTGGATTAAAAAGATGTGGTACATATACACAGAATATTACTCAGCAACCAAAAAAATAATAATAATAATAAACACATGCCTTTTGCAGCAACATGGATGGAGCTGGAAAAGATCATGCTCAGTGAAATAAGCCAGGAAGAAAAGGAAAAATATCGGATGGTTTTTCTCATAGCAGGAATATAATGGACGAGGTGAGAAAATAATGATAATGATGAACAGCTATATACCAGAGACATTTTGTGGGGGTGGAGTGGGGAATGGGATCAAAAACAGTGTGGGGAGGGAAATACACTAGACTATGGTGATGGCACAGGGGTAATTTGGTAATGGGAAGCCCACGGGGATGACAACTGGAAAAATGCACTAAATGATGTAAAAATAAACATATTACAATTTTTTTTAAAAAGCCTGTTTGTAAGTAGATGTGTTAAATAGATGTGCACAGCAAGAATCATAAGATTTGAACTAATAAGGCAAAGCATAACTAAACATATTAAAGAGTGAATCTCCACCCTGGTGTAGGGATGTGAAAGAAACAATACTGTTATTTGAGAATATTTTTTTCAGCCTGTGTGTATGCAATAACACTTTCAGGAGGAGGTAAGAAAGAATCCTCTATTTTATTTACTTAGATTTTTAAAATGGAAAACTTGTGTGCTGTTGCAAGTTCGGGTTGGCATTTTAACATTTCTGGCATCAGGAGTATCTGACAACATCTGCATTTTTGGTCTAATGAAATATGGTAGCTATATTAACCTAGATTTCTGGCTGCAACAGATTTTTTTAGCTATTCAAAGTTAATACTTTGGAAATGTTTTATTAGACTAGAAATTAGTCTTCTGGGAAGGGGCAAGTACAGAAACTAGTTCTTTCTCTGGAAGTAAATACCAGGGTGCATGATGGGGAAAATAATCCTAAAACTCATGCACTGTTGCCGGTTTGTTTTGTGGGCAGGGGAAGCAAGCACGAATAGGATCACTGTTATAATGCTCTTCCTTTCCAAATGTATGTGTTTCATGATGAACAAAAGAGAATCAGCTTTCAGATTAAATTCCGGATCTCTGGATCTGCTTCTCAGCTTATAAGCATCAGCAAGACTGTTAACCAAAGTTAACAGCACTTCCTGGCTGAAAGCTTAAATTTTTACAAGAGTATGGTTGCCTTCTTTTGAAGACTAGTTTTAAACAATCACACTGTTTGTTATCCTAGAAGTTTATTTCATGTTAACACAATCACCTGCTAGCCATAAAATAAACTCCCAACCTAAAAGTGCAGGCTCCTTACGGGAAGCCGTCCCCAGGTGGCAGTTCAAGTTCAGTGTGAATGAAGGCAAGCAGGGTAGAGAGAAGAAGGTGGGGATAAGATCTGTCACTCATACCCGTTAAGGAGAAAGTTCATACTGAGAGAAGGACTCTAAGTCTAATAAGACAGAAAACCACGCTTCACAAAAATCAGTGTACACGACGGTGCTATGCACGTATCTAAAGAATAACTCCCCTGTACACACATGTCCAGAAAGCAGAAATATCTTCTTTTCTTGTTCTCATGAAATCACCACCTCCTGCTATATTTAACCCTCCAAGGCAGCAGCCCCCACCCCCACGCTCCAAGCCCCACCCTCATCCGCTGCCTCCGCAACCCTCCGGGACTCTGCACACTTGGCTTAGTTCCACAGCCATTGTTGCTAGAGAAATGATGGAGAAATTGCTCATTATTCCTATTTGACAGATAAGGAAGTGGAGCCGCGGAGATGTCATTTTTTATAAACTTCCCCAAAGCAGTTCTAGAACTGAAATGCTAGCTGGCTCTTCTGCTCCTTCACGCTCTGGATCCTGTGAGTGTTGGTATCGCTGAGACTACAGCCCAGAGTAGCTCTCCCCTCACTGGGATGCCTGAGCAGGTGTGCAGAAAGGGCCTGACCCCGCCCTCCTGTGACCCCAGAGTTGGATCAGTGTGCCGAGAGCCCCCAGACCCGGCCCGTCCTGGGCCCAAACTATCTCTACAGCTTGAAGCAACACTTTGGCAGCTACCACCAATGCAGGAGAATTCAGTGAAAGTCAAAAAACCTGGACAGGACATTAGTGCGCACCATCCAGGGGAAACAAAGGCCGGACCTCGTCCAAAGGAGAACTCGAGACAGCGATCACCCCAGGGACGATCCCTGTCTCCTGGCATCTCAGGTTTGCCTAGTCTGTGAGCGGCCTCTGTCTCACAGGTTATCACACCGATCCCCCAGAGCAGCGTTGTAAAAGGGTTCGTTAGAAGCCTTTAAAGAGGGTTATCGCCGGGCATGTAAACCAGCTTATCTGACTTCCCAAATGCACGTGGCCTGGTGGTGTTCGGAACCGGTCAGACAGTGGAGTCTGCACCAGGGCTCCCTGTGGACTCGCTGGCTACACAGGCTGAGGCCAGGCAGGTCCCCGAGGGGGGCCTCCTGCCTCCTCACCTGGTCCATTAACCTGCAGTCGGGGGCTCCCTGGTGGCCTAGGCGTGGAGTCTCAGCGTCGTCACCACCAAGGCCTGAGTTCCACCCCCAGCCAGGGAGCTGACACACATGGCACAGCAGACCTCCCCTGTCTCGCCCGCTGCTCCCCTCAGCGTATTTCACAGGAACCTGCTCTGCTCCCCATTCTGTCTGTGGTGACTCCCTGTACCTCTGGCCTATACCTCAATTCTTCTACACAAAAATAAAATCTTTTAAAACAAGAAAAAAATCTGTGACCAGCTTTTCCAGAGTCAGGCCTGCAACAGCAACACAGTGGGCCCATGGGCTGTGGAGGGCCAGGGGTGCAGGAGGCTGTACCCCAGGGATGAGGTGGGGGTGACACATCTCACCCCCAGACTTCCCAGTAGGACCGGAGAGCTGCCTGCAGACCGCCAGGAGGCCTAGCCAGGGAAGCAGTGCTACTAGGGACTACTCAGGGAAAGGAGGGAGGCCACACCCACCCCAAATCACACCACCAACCCTTCTGTGAGCATCCTAGTACTTTCTCCGAGCACTGACCCACTCTCAGGGTGCCACCGTATCCTTCAGAGAAAGAAGAACCTTATTTTTCAGTTGCGGTAAAAAACACATTAACCGTCTTAGCTGCCTTTAAGCTCACAGTTCAGTGTCGCTGAAACGGCCGTCAGCCTCCACCCCGCCCACCGAGCTCTTTTCACACTGCACCCTCCACACTGCGGCCACTGAACACGACTCCCTCTCCTGCTCCCCAGCCCGCACGCCCAGGCTCCTTCGGCTTCCATGAATCCGATGACTCCGAGCACCTCTGATAAGAGGGAGCTTACCCGGATGTGGCAGGGACTCCATGTAGCTGGTGTCCGCAAGGATGAAGAAACTTTCAAACCACTTCTGTTGTGACAAACCAAACTTCCTCACCTACTTAAGCGACAGTAAATAGTGGCCACTTCAATCCTGCTTTTCAGAATCGAAAAATCCGCAAGTAGGATTTTAAAAATCTTCCTATGTCCTCCGATACGGACTTGACGTTCGAGTTTTAGTGGTTTTCCAGTAGGCGTTCCCTGGTTCAGTCCCACTATCTATCATATTTCTTTGGAGGATAACAAAAGGCTAAAACTGCCCCTTCCCTGAGGAGTATTTCGAGTTCGAGAGGGATTCAAGTACAGAATTTGGGAATGTCCCTCTCCCCATATCCACCACCCCCCTTGCCCAGGTTTTGTTTTGGGGGGGGAGGCAGGTGGGGAAGCGGGGGGGGGGGCAAAGACTCAACTGGGACTTTAAAAAATGATTCAGATCTATATTGCAAACACTGTCTAGTTTTGGACGGTGAGCATGTCCTAGGATTCTAGAACACCCTGTGATCCTAACAAAAGTTGCAGAGGAACGGTGATGCCTGCATTACAGCGTGGGAGAATGAAACAGCTCATGAATTGGAAAACGGCCCTTCTTCCTTCCGACTCCCTCCCTCTCCTTGTGTGAGATACGATTGCACTTATTTCCTGTATGGTCGTGTAATGCAACCGGCATCACAGTGAATGACCTCAAGTGCTCTGCTGCCTGTGTTTCCTTTGTGAATCCACGTCTGACCTACTGACACCTTGAGGTAACACCTTGGCTCCTGGTTCACTTCCGGTACTTTCTATTTCTTTGGAGGACACCAAAGGGCTGGGCTGTCCCTTCCCTTGGGAATGGTTTGGCTCCTAGAGGGATTCAGGCCCAGCTGACACGAGAGAAGGGGGATGAAGAACAGCAGCAACGGATGTACCTGGAAATTCTTAGAGCTTCGAGCAGAGAACTCTGAAGAGGTGGAGTTTAAATGGAACCTTTTTTTATTATGATTCCCAGTAATATATCTTTGTCACTTCTAATTACTTAATTATAACTTAATTATTATTGTGGTCTATAATAGCCTCTTCAAGCTAATTTTTAGGTTAACAAAGATACAAGGAGAGTAATATATTTCATCACCTCTTTTGTCTCTCCGAAATATTGTAGTCTACTTGTCTGAGAGTTGTTCACCCTAAGTTCAGTCATCCCTCCAGTCAGATGTCACTGTCTTCCAGCAACTTCCTCCTTGGGAGTATAATGGAACTTATCTGTAATGCTCTAAGCTCGGTAGAGTAGGCGCCAACCACATAATCACAGGCTGTTCCCGTAGGAGGCAGATTTCAAGGGGACATGATCTGATCCTCAGCGCCTCTGAACCCCCAGGGTGATGGCTGTGTGGTAACATGTGGCAATGCGAAGTTTCCAGCGCCAGATGCACCCCTGCGCCAAGCGTGTGGCCTGGGCATTCTCCAGCCCACACAGACAGGTGGTGAGGACTGATACTTCCCACCCTGGGCTCCACTGACGACAGGTATCATCTGCACACCTATGTTCACAGCAGCGTCACTGACAACAGCCACAAGGAGGAAGCAACTCACGTGTCCATCCGTCATCAGTGAATAAACAAAAAGTAAATCAAAAGGTGTTTACCTACAGTGGGCTAAATTAAAATTCGGACACAGATTAAAAGATGGATGAGGCTTGAGGATACTATGCAAAGTGAAACAAGCCTGTCACAGGAGACAAATACGCAAACGAGGTGCCTCTTCCTCTTCCACTTCAGAGGGGAAGGGGGTGGGGAGGGGTGGCAAGTGGCTCAGCGCTTCAGGTGTGCCAGGTGAGCGCCCTCTGGGACGGAGGGTAAAGTGGTCACATGATAAAGTGGATGTCTTAGCGCCAATGAAGTATATGCGAAACAATGGTCTATGATGGTAAATACTCTTTTACCACCTATTAAAAAAATAATCATTATTCCTTCTGAGTTTTTTTTTTTTTAATTAAAGAAAAGAAGGGAAGATCTACTTAAGATCCACGCAAGAAGGACCCTTTTCCTGAATCTTAGGTCTGACCTGGAAATTAACGTGTCCACACGCCCTCATTCAGTCTTTCCTTCAGAATTCCTGAAACTCAGCAAGCAGCGCTAAGAGAATGGTGAGAAGTGACCTCCTGCACAACAAGGAACGAGCGCTGGAAGCAGGGGCAGAGGCCAGGCTACTAACGAAATGGCTCCTTGCTCCTTGCAACCGGAGAGGCTGCCCCCAGGAAATACAGCCTCTCCCGGGAGGGCGCCTGTCCTAGGGGCCACGCTGGGGGCCCCAGGGCTGCTCCTGCAGACTCCGCCCAAAGCCATCTCACTCACATCAGATCCCAGGTTTTTCTGCCATTTGATAATAACTAGGCTGCTGCCCATTTCAACCGGGCCCATCACACAGCAACAAGAGCCCCCAAGTGAATTGGCGAAGGGAAGTGAGAATGTTCTGAAGCGACAGAGTCCGATATTGTTAGTCGCAGCATTCAACGATGCAGAGAGCTGTTGCGCCCGCCAGAGCCCGGCTGGGGCGGGGGGCTGATCAGTGAACCCCATCTCTGGCCTATTTTCTCTGCTCCTCTTCCACAAATTCAAAAATGATGCACTTCGATTCCCACGAGTCCAGGCACACAGCGCCCTTCCCTTGTCCACCTGGTTCCCTGATGACCTCTTCTCCCAAGCTGCATGCTCCTGATTTACCCTGTGACTTCATGACGTTTCCTGGCTGGAAACGGAGACGACCCACAATGCAGTGTCCACTCCGCTCCTGCTCCAGAGCGGCCGCTTTCAGGGAACGTCCTATAACGCGGTGGCTTTAGTTTTTGTCTCAAAACAACACATTTAGGCCCTCCCTGGTGGCGCAGCGGGCTAAAGCTCAGCACTGCAAGCTGACTGCAGTTGCTTGAGCATGAGTTCGATCCCCACCTGCCCTGGAGGTGACCACAGGGCGCGGCAGACCTCTCCTGACCCGCCCGCTGCTCCCCTCAGCAGTGTACTTCGTCGATCTGCCTGTTCTGCTCCCCGCTCTGTCTCTGGTGAATCCTCTCACCCTCCGCATCTCTGGCCTGTACCCCAGTTCTGTATGAATGAATAAATAAATCTTTAAAAACAACACCACCACCACATTTAGTGTTGGCTGGAAAGAGGCTTCCTAGAAAGTCTCTCTGGAGTCCTCAAGGCAGAGAGCTGAGAACCCAGGCTTCTCACACTCACTGGAGGGAAAATTCAAAGCGAAACCCCCAAGGATGTAGGTGACTTCATGACGTAACCTAACAAAAGCCATCTTGTCCCAGAGCGGCCACCTCATCGCCATCACCGAACAGAGGAAGTCAGGTTTTGTTCCAGCGGACACCCAAGGATTCTGGGGCGCTCTGGGCGGTGAGCTGAGCCGGCGGGGGCCTCCCACGGGTCCCCAACCCCCGGCGCGGGAGGCTGCCGCTCCCCACTCCGCCCTCCCTGGCGTTGCGGGACACACTCGGGCTGGGCTGGCCTCTGGGCCACGCTGGCCGGCCCCCTCGGGCCCCATGCTTACCTCTTGTCGCGCCTCCCTGAAGGACGACTGCAAAGTCCCGCCTCGCCTGGGAAGGGCAGGCTTGCAGGGCTCCTCCTGCTGCCCGAAGAGCTCCTCGATGGTCTTCGCGTCGATCTGGTAGTGGTGCTGCTTCCTGGCCGCCAAGGTCCAGATGTTGGTTTTGCCGCGAACTTGATCCTCGGGAATGGTTTTCCAAAAGAAGCTTCTCAGGCGCTTTTTCTTGCCCAGGTGGCTGTAGCCGTTCATGTGAGAAGCCGGGGGCAGTCCCGGAGGCGGCGGGGGGAGGGTGGGCCCCCCAGGAAGTGGAGGTGGGGGGGGAGGAGCAGGAGAGGGGGGCAGCCCTGCCCCCGGAAACGCACATGGTGGAGTTGAAGGGGGCGGCGGCGGGGGTGGCGACTGCCCGATCATGAGTCCAGCCGCCGAGGCCACGTGCCCATTTTCCTTATCGCTGACCAGGGACACACAGTTCATCACATGCATAGTACTTGCGCCTTCTAGGGACAAAGTCTTGACCGTGGGGAAGCCGACCCTGTCAAACGCGTGTCCCGCTCGTGCGCCCGCTAGGCCGTGGTGGGAGAGCGTCGCAGCCTGCGCTGGGCCATCGCAGACCTGAAAGGATAAACGGAGGTCAGGAGGGTGTTCATCCCGCGCTCCCTCCGAGCCTGTCCTCCCCCGGGGGCTGGGTGTCAAAATCAAGAAGGGGCGAGACACCCCAGAGTGCAGGGACAAGAACGGGCAGCTTTTCGGAAGGCAAAACAGACCTTATTGCCTGGAAATGCTGCAGTAAACCCCAGCTGGACAGCTGGACACCGTCCACTCAGCAGCAAGGCCGTGCTGAGAACCTGCCCTCTTCCTGAATAAACTGGGCTGCTCAGGGGTTCCCTGGGGCAATGGACAACCAACCCCCAGGGCAATCCACAAATGGCCCGGCATAGGAGTTAGTGACCCCACTGTCCAGCATGGATCTGTCCCCTACCAATGCAGGGGTCAACGGGCACCTTCCACCTGTGGGTAAGGGGCAGGGCAGACTGGCCCAACTTGTTTCCTGCGCCGCGCTCCTGCGTCCGTGATGACGCGCTTCCCCCCCAAAACAGAAAAGACACTAGAGGCGGAGATGAAAGGTTCCAACTCCAAGTTAACTCTGCAGCTTACGGAACGGTCACTTCGCCCCCTGGACTTTGGTTTTCTCATTTGTAAAATTCAGAGGTTAGGGAATGTGACGTGACCGCTCTCGTTGCATGTGATGCTATCATCCTGGATTCTAGTTCAGTCCCTCATGGGAAACGATCAGAAATTCTCTGTCACATACACACGCCGCTCGTCGGTTTCTTCTCTCGTCAGTGACTTATTTTGGGGATTTGTAGCTATACTTGACCTGGAAATGCTTGCTTTTGGTGTTAGTCTGTTAGAGGCCTGATATGAAAGTGTGGCCCCAAACCACTTCATTGCTTCAGACACAACGAGGATTTGGGGGCCAGGGGAGTTGTGCAGGTTATGGATTGAGTGGCCCCCAAATACAGGGGGTTGTGCAGGCGGGCTGCTGCTTCCAGATCCTAACAGGCCACGTGGAGGAGCTTGAGACTGGCTGTCTGCATACAGTCATCCTTCCCAAGCATTATTGTCAACATTCACACATCTGTCACAAACAAGTCAACGGTAGACGACACGGGACTAAGCTCTCTGATAGGACCGACTCGCATGTTGTGAAATGTTTTCCGCAGAACCACGTTAAAAGACAGATATTGGAGTGAAGATTTCTAAAACTGACTGCTTTTCCTCAGACGCTAGCCTGCTATTATTTTTTAGGGTCAGGTAGGTCAGTTAACCTGAGTTTCAGCATCCTCGTGTTAACAGAAAGATACACCTGCTTCATTATTCTGCACAAGAATAAAAGTGAACTAACGTGGACAGTCCTTATTTAGCTGCCTGGTTCTTTATTATTAACACGTGGTGCCATGTGTATGGTTTTATTTGCACAGGTGTTACACTGGTTTTAAAAAGTATGTACTGGGTTTATAGACGAGATGCTCAGTTATCCTTGACTGTTAGAAACTGACTTTTTAATTGCTGTCTCACTAGATTTGTCCTTTTTCAGTATTTGGTGATTCTATATAAATGATCTCTACATTACGAAAGAAATGTTTTATGAAACAATTGAATATTTAAGTTCAACTGATGTAGGTAAGAACGTTTCCAGTTATTAATTGGCTGTTTGGTTTCTGGGCCAATTTTGGCCATTGTTTTTAACCATTTTAAACACACACTTCAGTGGCATAAAGTGCAAGTTGCTCTCCTAACAGGCACTGGGTAATGCATTAGAAAGTAAAACTGAAAATATTTATCCAAGCCAACTTACAGCTCACTTGAGATGCAACTGATTTTTAAAAGGAGTTTTCACAATTATCATTAGGGGCATAACTAGGCTGTTTTCATACTTGGCACCCTAAAGCAAATGACTCACTGTCAATTACAGTTTATAGTTATATTTGAACTCTTCATTTTTCAAGACTGTGCAGGTAATCTTGGCAGCTATCCTTACATATTTTTAAATAATTCTGTACATAAAGTAGCTCATGTATAGAACAGCTGCTAATCCTCCAATTCTAGTTATGCTGGCTTTTTTTAAGATTAAAAAAAAAAAAGGTGATCGGTTAAAAAGGCTCCATCCTAGAAAGCAACAACACCTTCCATGCTGTTAGGTTAAAGCTCACAGAGCAGACACCAACAGAGAGTATACTCCTAGAAGCCAAACAGGGGAGACCGTCTTCTGACACCAGAGGCCGGAGGACTCGACTTTTGGGGCGTGGCATTGCACAGCCGAGGCAGCGGAGGAAAGTTTCTCAGAGTAAGAAGTGACACAAGTGAGCCAAGCGCATGCAGGATTCAACCTCTGCCCCATCTTGGGGGATAATGTTGTTTTGCAAAGTTAAAGAACAGAAGACAATTTACAACATTGCTCCATTTGTGTTGTGTAGCAAATTCTTTCCGAGGGTGACATACAGGGTCCTAGGCCCCCAACCGTTTCTAATGAAAAGTCCTGGGACAAGGATTAGCTAAGATGCTAATGCTTTCACTACAGGCTGCAAAAGGGCTTTAGGTCTTTGCCCTGGGCCAAGATTTCCAAGGTCAAAGAGAAGGGAGGAAGAGCAGAGTAGAGACAGCCCTCTGGCCCTTTCCACAGCCCAGGAGACACTGAGAGCATTTGATTCACTGTGGTACTGTCCACGGTGAAGGTGCACAACCATACGCCCTCGTGCAAGGAGACCCTGGCTGTTTCTCACAGCTGGTCAGTGCTGGCCAAGGAATTAGCCGCGGCTATGTCTGGAAAGGCAAGTGTCCCATCCATCTCCCCAGGACAGGCTTGTGCTTAACATTTCACCTACTGGCTGGGGAGGCCAGGGCTGAGGAAGAGAAAAAAGGTCTTAGGCTCCTCTAGTGACAATTATGACACATCAGACGTGTGACTGAGTGATGGACCCTGGTTGGGGGGGAGGGTTCCCTGAGACTCTTATTACCTGTGAAACTTTAATAAAGGGAGGCTGTGTTCATGCACTCTGTTGCTCACAACGTGAATGCCAGACTGGGAACATGTATCCACAAGGGTCTTCAAAGAAGCCCCTGCTCTCTCCTAGACTCTGCTGCCGCAGGTCTATTCTGTTCTAGGGAGCAGGTGGGAGGGAAGAAGAGGATGTTTTGACATCATTTTGTACATTTTTTCATCTCAGTTGTTATCCCGGTGGGCTTCCCATGGCCAAATCACCCGTGTGCCATCACCATAGTCCAGTGCACTTCCCTTCCCCCACTCCACTCCACAGTGTATTTAGGAGGAAAAGGAGCGGAAGCTTCCCCCAGAGAGGTGGAGCGGGGCCACTCAGCCCACAGGTCAGCAGTAACCAAAAGTAAACGTGAAGGAACACCTCGGACACCTTTCCCCTTGATTCCTGACGCCTGACACGGGGCTGGCTGGGGCTGGCACCCCCTTCTGATGGGAAACTAGGGGCAGAGCGAGCGGGTTGGGGAGAAGAGGCAGAGGAACATACCGACCTCTTTCTAGTCTTGGGGGCTGGAAGAGAAAGAAGGGAGACGCACAGCCGATCCTAAAATAAGGCATCATTCTTCTCAGCCCACTAACTCCTTGGTTCCTCCTCACCATCGATCTCTCAACTCCCTTCTTGCTTATTAAACACAGAATGTCAAATACACAGTCGGAGCAGGGCTGGCAATAGGCAAGTCAACCCCGGGCCTCCGGGCCGGCAAGAAAAGAGCTCGAGCTCGAGCCGTTTCCAGCCAGCGAGTTTAATCCTCATTTCAGCATAAACATCTCACAGACGCCGCGAGCGAGCACAGCAGCCTGCGCGCGGGGAAGGACGCCTGCTCCCGAGTGTGCATTTTCCGTTTCTCTCGAAGTCCGCA